ATTGTGAGTTATGGTTGGATGAGTCTAGTTTATGAGGCACTTTGTCAACCACGACAGTATTTTGGTTGAACCGGTCAAGTTCGAGGTAGTTATTCGGCAGGAAGTTATAAAGTATTCATATGCGATTTAGAGCTTCCTGGGCTTGAAGGTTATTATCGAAGATTCATGAGGGATTTCTCCAAGATTGAAGTTCCTCTCATTAGGTTGATGAGGAAGGATGCAACCCTCAGTTGGGGGCTTGAGTACCAGACAACGTTTGTGACTCTTTGGCAAAAGATCCGTGAGGCGTCGGTGCTTACTATTCTCGATGGAGTTGAGGAATTTGTTGTATATTGTGACCCATCGATTATGGGCTTCAGTGTTGTTTTGATGCAGAGGGGGCATGTGATCGCTTACGCTTCGAGGCAGCTGAATCCTCATGATGCAAATTTTCGTATACATGATCTGGAGTTAGGGGCGGTGGTTTTCGCCCTCGAGATTTGGCGCCACTACTTGTATGATGTCCGGTATACCATTTACACATACCATAATAGCATGAGATATTTGATGGATCAACCCAAATTGAATATATGAGGAAGCGAAGGTGGCTTGACATGCTTAAAGATTATGATTGTGAGATCTTCTACCACCTAGTAAGGCCAACGTAGTGGTCCACGCTCTGAGCCACATGGCAGTTAGTGCTCTATTTCGAGATGTAAACCGCATGGAAGTTAGTGCCATATTTTGGGATGTTTGTTTAAGGATGACAATTATGACTCGAGTTTTAGAGATGATCAAGGTTGTAGAGTCAGCGGCCATTAACGAACAAAAATGGAAAAACGATCGAGTAGTCGGTCAAGTATCAACTTTTGATTATGACAACCAAGGATTGTTGATGCTGCATGAAAGGATTTGAGTGCCTTATTCTGGTGGGGCCCTGCAAATTTTGATGGAAGAGACACACAAGTTGAGATTTTATATTCACCCGGGCGCAATGAAGATTTATCACAATCGAAGACATAGTTAATGGTGGCCATGTATGAAAAGGGGTAAAGCTTGATTCGTGGAACGGTAGTTGACCTACTAGAAGGTCAACTCCGAACGTGAGTGCCCTCATGGAAAATTGCAGCCTCTAGTTGTCCCATTATGGAAATGAGAGCAGTTCACCATGGATTTCATCATGAAGTTACCAAAGAATGCAAAGGGATTGGACGCTATCGGGGTGATTGTGGAATTGCTAACAAAGAGCATTCACTTTTTGGATATCTAAGAGGGTTCTTCAGTTGAGAAGTTAGCTAACATTTATGTTCGTCAGGCGGCTGATCACCATGGGGTGCTTTCGTCAATTGTTTCAGACTAGAATGTTCGCTTCACTTCCATGTTTTATAAGTGGTTCCATGAGGAATTAGGTACCCGGTTTAACTTTAGCATTGCCTATCATCTGCAGATGGGCAGAGAGAGTGAATAGACCATAGAGACGCTTAAGGATATGTTGAGGGCTTGTATCTTGGATTTTAATGGGATTTGGGGCTCTTACCTCCCCTTGGTTAATTTTCATATAACAACAACTATCACGTCAGCATTGATATGACTCCCTCTAAGATCCTCTGTGGGAGAAACTGTTACACTTTGATTTGTTTGGGATAGGTTGGTCATAGATTAATAGGGAGAACAGAGACAGTTCTCAAGATGATGGAGCTCATGCAGCATGTTAGGAAGAGACTTCAGACTACCTAGAGTCCCTAGAAGAGTTATGTCGACCGACGTCAATACAAGTTGGAATTTCAGGTCGGGTATTTGATACTTCTTAAGGCGTCACCTTGGAAAGATTTTATCAATTCAGAAAGCAGGGAAAGTTACACCCCAGGTTCATCGGTCCATTCCCCGTAGTAGCTACGGCGGGCAAGATGGCCTTCTGCTTGGATTTAGAAAATGAGCTCAGTAAGATTCATAGCACATTCTGTATATCCCAGTTGTGAAAGTGTGTGGCGGATGAGACATTTATAGTACCTTTCGATGATATTGAGGTTGATGACCACCTGAATTATCTCGCGAAACTGGTCGCAATTAATGACGGGAAGATGAAGACTCTACGAAACAATGTAGTGGACGTGGTGAAGGAGTAGTGGTGCCACTGGAAGGTTTCGGAGTGGACTTGGGAACTTGAGGAGGAGATGTGCACCCATTATCCTACTTAACGCAAGGTTGAGGACTTCATGGGTGAAGTCTGATTTTAGTAGGGGAGATTTGTAACACCCGGGTCCGCATGTATGGCTTTCATTGGAATTCTTTGGCCATATGTGTAAATTTTATGTCAAACGGTGGGCGTAGGATAGTCTCCTATCCCATCATAGGAGGAAGTCTTCATACATGCATTTAATGTCTTACATTGGCCGTAAGTTTAGCTACAAAGCTTGTAGTTTGAAGGATCAAAAACCCTTACTTTTAGGGTTCTTATATAATTTAAAGTCTCTAACCCTCTTAAGGGCCTCTTCATACCCAACCTCCATCCTGCCATACAGTCCCTTCAAAACCCTAACCATTTATGTGGGAACCTGAAGGGTTTAAAGTGTTCTTATGTGTATCTTTGAAGGAGAAGATCATTGGAGGAGCATCTACGAGCTCTATGTCTTGTGGATCCAGATCCTTCATATTGTTTTCCACCTCCAAGAGGTATAAAGTTCCCATCGTTGCAATCTCTGATGCTAGGTCTAGTTAGTTATGCATTTTGTATGCTTTTTGCCCCATAACGTGTTTCTTGCGAGTATGATCTACTACAGACCACATGGAGACCATTTCTTATTGTTTTTGGGGTTATTGAATCATAAAGTTGAGAACTTGATCACTCCTATCTACCCAATGCATGGTATCTTAAGAGTTGGTGCACTTCATAGACATAAGGTTTGGTATATTGCTCTTTTATGGCATGTAAATGGATAAAGTCATAGAATTTATCCATTAATTCGTCCCTTTGGTTTATATCTAGAAGTTTTAGGACCTAACCTTTTGTATTAAGAGGTTAATGGAAGTTTTCAGATTTGGACCAGTATGTGGGGCGTAATTCTTGCTACGCTAGGCATAGTTTGGTTTTTGTCGGTAACAACTTGAGCTTTACGCCATGCGTAGAGTAACTTATATGCAGGGTGTAGTAGGGTTGAACATTGACTTTGACTACTGTTGACTATTGGGTCAAACTAGAGTTATAAGGGTGTTGACTAAGAGTGTATTCTTTATTGTTTTTAGGTGTCTTGTTGCTCCTTTCTACCCTGTGTGTAAGTTGTTGTATTCTAGCTGATATTCTCAAGGTGATTCTTTTCACTACCTATTTCCTGTAAGGTATGTACGTCTGTAACCAGCTGGGTCTTAATTCCATATTATTGTTATATGTGAATTCATGATAACTTTTTGATTGTTGAAAATGTGTAGGGTTCTTAATAACCCCTGAAACCTGTTGTTCATCCATAGAGAGTGATGTTACCCACTTGGATTGTTGATGATCCCCAAGCTTGCACATAACCCATACTTGTTTGTTATGTTGTGTTATATGGATATTTTGGGACCGAGTCACTAAGCTTTGTGCTTACAGTTGTGGATTAAATGTGTTTTCGGTACTTCTGATGACTACAGAAAGGCGAAGGCTTGAATATACACTTCGAATTGAAAATTTTATGATTTCAACATTTGATACTCTAAATTGGGATAACTGAATTGTGATATGCCTGAGATTTTTCTTGATTTTCTTTTTATGATACCTGATGGGTTTACTATAATAAAAATGAAAATTTTATGGTAAAAATCAGTATTTTACAATTATGATTATTGATAACCTTTGTTGATACGTTTAATATTATATCGTGAAAATTGTATACATTTACTCATTCATTGGGCAATTAAATGATGACCATAAAATCCTTATAGTGATGTGTTTTTTTTTCTTATAGAGTCATAATTCTTCACTTATAGTCAACATTTGCAAAATATTATTGTAGCCATTGTTGACCTTTCGAGATATAAATGTAATTAAGTTGTAAGAATAAGTTGTCTTTACTAGCACGTTTAATGGTTTATCATTACTATTATTTACATATACCGACAAATAAAAACTTAGGACACCACCAAAAATGATCTATACTAATGTGTTATTTCTTTTCTTATGATTATTGATTGTTGACATGTTTAATTAATATTATATTGTGAATATTGTGTATATTTACTCACTCATTCTTATATATATATATATATATATATATATATATATATATATATATATATATATATATATATATATATGAAAGGAGGATAGTTTTTAGGAATAGTGAACATCCTGATATTTTGGCAAAATAACCCATAAGTTTTCATATTTGTAGATGTCTAGATTTTTTGCACTAAAGTTTGATATATTGGCAATTTGGTCCCTTAAATTATTAACAGTCATATAAAGATAAGAAGATAGGGATGAAGCTGATACGTGTCATCTCCCCCACCGGTTCTGTCTTATCTTCAAACCCCCCACCCGGTTTCTCATCCACTCATTTTCTAGGTTATCTAATCTGATTTCCACCCTTCTATTCTTTGCCTCCACCCATTTCTTTTGTTCTGATCGGCCAAGAGGGAAGACGAACACAACACAGAAGTTAGGGAAAAGAGAAATTGGGGGTAAACCATGGTTTAACCGGTTCATCGATCTTTTGTTTGTATTGTTTGTGTATATGTGTTGCTTCTCCTTTCCTTCACCGTTTTTTTCTCCAATCGAATTCTGATCTGTGGAATCCCTCTTTCCCTTCCTCCAAACCGCTTCCAGTTCCCGATATCTTTCCGATTGTTCTAATTTTTAACCTGATTTCTTCTACTTCATCTACCGTCCTTTCTCACTCTTCTCAAGCTGCTACGTGCAAACGCGATGTGTGTTGAACCGCCCATATCTTCCAATTGTTTCTACCTTTCAACAAACACGGATTATCACCACCCACCTCTATCAATCTCCTGCTTACTCTTTTATTCTCCTACTAGATCAATGATGGATGGAGGACATCGGCGACACAGCGCCGTCTCCAATTACCTTCAAAGTACAGACGAGGATCGGGACTTCTCTCGCATCTAGAATCAGTTCAGGTAAAGGGGTTCAATTTCTAATTTCGTTTCTTCCTACGCACCCACGTTCATATTTACTTTTAAATTCAATTGATTTTTAGATCATCAGATGAAGGAGAGCATATCGCGTTAGGTTTTGGCGCATATGTGTTGGTCTAATTCCTTTCTATTTTGGGATTTGATTCCCTCCATTAATGTTTAAACCCTAAATTTCATATGCCATCACCAGGTGTGGCTGATAGATTCATAATCAGTTGATTTTCCCATATAGCACCTCATGTGATATCTTCTTCTCACAGGAAGTGTAGTGAACAACAACTCTCCTGTTTTTCGCGACACCTACTTCTACCTCCGCCTTGCCTCTTCGCCAACAAAAGCCACCTCCATCGTCGGCCTCCACCAGCTTCATCCTTCGTATGTTTCTCCTTTCATCTTCTCCAGTTCGCTTTCAGTCATTGAGTTTCGTGAACTAACAACTTATTTCAACTAATTTTAATTTGAAACCGATCATTGATTATCGAATTGGGTAATTTTGTTGATTAATCTACATATTCGAAGGTCGTCATATCACGTCATGATTAGGGTAAATGAGATTCAGAAACGGACATCACTTCGGTACAAACCTACATAATCAACAGTGTGAAGGTAGTCATCTTGAACAAAAGGCCGCAGTCACGGTTGGGAAAAGGCGTTACATATACTTGTGAAGTATGCCAGTGTAATCTTCTCGATTTCTTCCATTTTTGCTCATTTGGGTGTAAGCTAAATACGATCAACCCAAAAGAAATTCAATCCGTTTATATATTATGATTAAAAAAACACTTAATCCGCTACATGTGAATTAAAATTCAAAACTATATTAAAACCCTTTATCATGTTCTCTTTTCCAGTTACTATCATACGTGGAGGTTTTAGGTCAAATGGCTGCTGAATTACAATCGAAGAAGACAAAAATCAACCAATTAACGAGAGATATGCTTACTATGGAACAAAGGTAAATAGGTATTAATGTTTTATATAATTACGTTGGTTTCCTGTTTGTTATGTTTATGCCAATTGCTTTCTCGATTCTTCCATCACTAATATCCCTAATCTATCTCTTTTTGTTTTGTTTTAATTGGTACATGTTTATTTTGATATAGGTTAAATTCAGAAACACTAGCATTTGCCGGAGGATTTCATGTTGTTTACCTTACTCTCTATCTCGATTTCAATCTCTAAAACTCAGTTTCGATCTTAATATTCTGCAACTTCTTAAATTTTGCAGATACGAGACAGTCTGCTTGTGGGTGCGAGGTTGTGAAATAAGTTGAAAAAAGAGGGTATCTTCGTGTTGGGAGTTTGCAGGATGCAACAGTCAGGTACCACTTCATTCCCTAATATATAATAAATATAATGGGCTAGATGTATCATTTTGGTGGATTGTCACGAGTTTTTCTTCCCATGAAATTATGATCAAACCTCCTTCAATGGTGTTTTCTTCTTAATTTTGAAAACATATAATGGGCTTGATGTAGTTTTATTCTTAATTTTGAAAACAAAGATACAAAACCAGACCATGTTAGTTGATAAATAATCTTAAAGTTGAAAGCTTTTGACAAAGAAACTGCCGATTTTTGTGGGATAAAAGTTAGTGCTTGTGTTCCAAAGGGGTGTAGGCATTCTCACAGACTCCTAGCAAATATGTTAACAAACTGTTGCAAGACTTTGGGTTATTTGTCTGTTGGTGTTAAATGTATATAAATGAGTATATGTCTGATGAGTATTGATATATCAGTGAGAGTTATAGGTTTATATACATGTTATATTCTTTATTTATATAATTATTGTCTTAACTTATTTTTGAATTAATTAATAAAATTTAATTGTTGTTTGACTCCATGAGTTTACCTTTGTGTGTTTCCAGTTGTAGAAAGTGTTATTTGAACATATCCATAAGGGACCTAAATGGAAGAACTTAAACCACCAACACAATTAGTTAATTTTCATTTTCTATCTCTTTCTCTTTTCCCTGTATTTTCTCATCAATACTAGTGAGTTCCTTATCAAAAAACCCATGTAAATTTCCATTATTACATAACATGGTAAACAATCAACTGTTTGATGTGAAGATTATTATGTTAATTCTTTTTTGAATAGTTCATATTTCTATTTTATGTTTGAATTCAGATTATGTTTTGTATTTTTGAGTTACGGTGTATGTATTGAAAAAAAAGTCACTTTAGAAAAGTAATGAAAATTAATGTGGTTGATTGCCATCATGTTTTGACGAGTGTTTTCATACAAGGGCATTTGGGAAAAAAGGGGAGGAGCAGGTTACTCGGGACAATGACGAGGTTAGAAATAAAAAAAAAATTACGTAATGGTAATAAGAAATGTTTTACAAGTAAGGAAGAAATAAAGGTGTTATTGAGCGTCCACACCGAGCACATAAATGACTGAAGAAGAGGATGAAGAGTACCTGAAAAAGAAAGAAGCTAAGTGCATTTGAGCGTCCACATCGAGCACATAAATGAAAATATTGTGTTAGTGTTATTAAAGGTACAAAGGTAATTCATTTTCTTAGTATTTTCACTTTTTTAATTTGAGATATATATTGATGAGGGTAAAATGGACATTATCTTTTTAGAGGTTGCTGAGGGAGCAAGACTATGTGGAGGTAAGAGGATCATTGGTGTTGATTTGAACCAAGACAAGTTTGAAATAGGTATTTTAATATAATTCCTTACAATAATATAGAAATTTCCAATTTTTAACATTGACCATTTCTTTTTTATTAACAGAAAAGAAATTTGGAGTCACTGATTCTGTGAACCCGCGAAACATGAGGTACAAAGCTGTGAGCCGGGTAATTTTATACATTATGCTTCATATGTTTCTTGAAGCAGGTGATAATTGAGATGACTGACGGAGGTGCAGAATATTGCTTTGAATGTGTTTGTTTGACTTCTATTGTGTATGAAACTTATGCTTGGCTATGTAATGAATACTAATGTTAAATAAGTTAATATCTTGTATTTTTGCATATCTAATACTTAATACGCTTCTGATAATTATCCATCCAAACTACTACAAAAAACATAAGAAGAATGTTTGCTGACCTTTGGCTCTTTCAAAAAAAAAAAAAAAAAAAAAAAAAAAAAAAAAAACATAAGAAGTCGGTCATAAAAATAGATAAATAAATCTTAACCATTTTACTATTAAAATAACGACCGCCGCATAGGTTTACAATGTCCACTGACCTCGAAAACAAACGTCACAACCTTTAAACACATAACCAACAACATCTAATCCCCGCAACACGGGGGACACTTACCTAGTTAAGCAATTAAACGATGACCATAAAATATTTCTAGTGATATGTTTTTTTCCTATAGAGTAATAAATGTTTACTTATAGTCACCGTTTATAAATATTATCGCGACTATTATTGACTTTTGGAGACCCAAATGTAATTAAGCTGTTAGCATAAGTTATCTTTACTGACATGTTTAATAGTTTATCGTTACTATTGTTTACATACAGCAAGAAATAAAAATTTAACCCATCACCAAAAATGATCCATACTCACGTGTTATTTCTTTTAGTATGAATATTGAAAACTTTTAATGATATGTTTAATCTTATATCATGAGTATTGTGCGCGTTTACTCACCTACAAACAATATATATATATATATATATATATATATATATATATATATATATATATATATATATATATATATATATATATATATATATATATATATATATATCTTTTACAAACCCAATAAACTAAAATTATACTTCTTTTAGTTCTACTCCTTAGGTTTTTACTATGCAAAATACTCTAGGTTGTTTTACCTTAGGTTATTTTGCTTAGACTTTTGCATTTTATTATTATCTTCAAGTATATGTACATTTGGATCCTATAACAATAAAAATTTAAAATAAGGGTCAAACATGCATTGACGCAAACATACACAATGTTATTTATTAATTAATATAATTGTTTAAAAAATATAATGTTTAATTAGTGAATATAAATATTAATGACTTATACAACAAAAGTACGTTAGGATCAAGGGTTAAAATATTTTTCTCCCAAGCCACAAAAGAATGTAGCACATCATTTACTGTTAACGGGACTTTGTCTCTATTCATACGCGGGCGACTAACTTTATTGCTTCATCCACAGAAACTCTATAGTAATCATGCGTTAGTGGCATTCCATGTATTGTCTGGTTTTCATCAGTAGAATAGTTAATTTACATAACCATTCACCATGACATTGCTACGTTCACACACTCATAGTGAACATTTTATTTTCTACAAATGTATAGAGGTACATATTAATAAATTTATAAGGTAAAGCTTAACTGACACATGTATATCTGTGTATACATTTAGAATGTAATACTTTGGTCAACTGTAGGAGTGTGTTGGGTTGAGCTGCTGCTATCACACTTTTGTGTGCTCGGCACATATAGATGCAACATTTTCTTCAATATTATTCAAACTTTCCTGAAAATGGTGTTCCATGTTTAGTTTATGAAAATAGTTGAAAACATTTGAAAATATAATGTTAAACTTACTATTATATATTAACTTACATTATTTTGAAGCTCTTTGGGTGGTGTTTGTGATGCTAATGTACCTATCGATTTTTTTTTCCTTTTCTGGGATGACAATATGCGACGAAAGCATTAACTAACAGTCCATTGTTAAAAAACTATCATAAAAAATCATTTAATTAGTTACTTTTTATGCAGGAGACTATTTTGGAGCTAGAGTTGTAGTTATTGGAGACTCCACAATATTATAATTGCCCACAGGAGGAACCAAACTCATCAGATAGTCAACTTTTGACCTTAGATACCCATTTGTTCTTTTTTGTTCCATTAGGCTTTGCTGAGGGAAAGCTATTTTTCTTTAATTGAGGATTTTACTCGAGGCGTATGTCAATATCTGGTTGGAGTGACTCACATGCCAACCCCTCTTACAAATCCACCATGTTCTTTGCCAAAGAGCAGTGAGAGGGTATCTTTGGTTGGTTTAAGAATGCTTATTCCTTCTTCAACTTCATTTTCATGACTGATAAGGAAAAAATATATGCCAAATAAATATAGTATTATATGTGTTCTTTATCAATCAACATTAACAGATACCAAAACCAGATAAATGCTACTAGTTTGACACTATATACCAACTCTTTTGTAACAAGCTTTACTTCTTCTCAATCATATTTTCCCTCCTTATTTTCCCATCCTTTCCTCCATATTAAAGAACATGGTGAACTTCATCCGCACCAATCACTTTATCCTTCACCTATTAGAAAAATGTTCAACCGATGAAACGGAAATCAAACAATTTGCAAGTGTGTGTGTGTGTGTGTATATATATATATACCATATTAAGTAAACAAGAAATTAATAAATACATGTTCAACAATTGAAATATCGATCAATGGACTTACTAATTTTTCTTGTAATTTAGCATACTCCCCACGTCCCATGTTATGTGGGAACGGGACTTTGCTCGAGCAATTTTGCCTATATCAGACTTAGCCTTAAACATAGAGTAAATAAAACGATATAAAAGGATTTCTAAATTATTAAAAAATATAATGAAAGTACTTATGACGAACATAACTAACATTTGGACCAATTTAATTTATTACCTTGAATTCTTGATTGTACACTTTTAACGAATGCCTCCTAATCACTTTGTATGTTAGACAAACAATAATGAGGTGGTATTACTTTTAGTTGCTTTGGTCGACCCAAGTAGGGATTTACGAAATGATCATTAACGTATTTTCTAAAATATTACCGAAGTGTACGAAGATGGGACAAAAAAAATTTCCTTACACATTCATCGATAACAAAAAAACCATTGCATGTATAGTAAGTTGAATGTTAGTAATCAACTTTAATTAATTAATTTCTTAATTAATTAAGATAATCTACATGTACACGTTGTGAAAAAATAGATATCAACTTTAATTAACTAATTTCTAGCTTTTGTGTTATATAGAAAGCACGTCCTTTTTGGTTAATGAGAGTTTAATGGATTAAATTTGATTAATATTGAAGAGTGAGTGTGTGGAGTTCAGTCCTAATTGAACGGTTGAATAGATTTTAGTTTACATTTATAGGGTTTCAAGAAAAGAAGCATTCTCTATCGTAGTTGAAAGGCATTATGTTTAACTCTCCATGAGTTGAATGGAGTACTGTAGAAGCTCTTGAATAAGGAATCAACTTGTATGAGTTTTTAAATAGAATCATTCTCTATACTTATATTTAACTTTTTAATTTATATGTACGCAATAATTTAATTTATATTTGACATTTATATTTGAAGCCTAAAATAATGGTGTTTTTAGTGGTTAGCTGCGATGAATTACATTATAAAATAAGACCAAAATGATGTATATTAGAGGACTATTTAGTTGGTCTATCTATGTCATTATGAACTTTTGGTGATCTAGTTTTCCCTCTGCTAACATTTTCTTAAACCAATCAAACAATGCATGTAAGTAATAAGTACTAGATGTAGAAGACGTGAAGAACTATATATATTGACCAATATTCATCATTCTCAGCAATAATTTCATCAGTACTTTCAGTATCGGACGAAAAATCATCTTCGTCTGTTTCTGGGTCATCGCTGAAAATCTCATCTTCGTTTCCATGGTTATTGAATTGTGTTTCCACATCGATAGCATCCATTAGTATAGAAATATGAGTTGGATAACGAAAAAAAATATGCTTATATAAGGAAACTAAAACAATGACGATGATAATGAAATGGTGAATTGTTTAGAGACTTTATCACTTACGGAAAAGTAAATTTTCAGCGTGGAGTATGTGTATGGAGGGGATTGAAATTTTGGGATAGTTTGAATCCTTTTATTTTGGGATTTGGAGGATTGAATTTCATATACGGGAACTGATATTTCCCTCTTGGTAATTTGATTTTTCCATTCAAAATTATATTAATAATAATATAAGTAATGTAGATTTGCTGTTCTCTCTCTCCCTCTCTCTCTCTCTCTCTATATATATATATATATATATATATATATATATATATATATATATATATACACTAGCCGTCTACCCGCGCAAAGCGGCGGACGGCGAATAATTTGATCTCTTTATAGTTAAAATCATTTTGTGTTCACTTCGAGAAATGAATATTAAATGACATCTATTTTTCAAGAGCATTACCATACCATATTAAGGTGGTGTTTGGCTAAGCTTTTTTAAAACAACTGATTAGGTTCCACATCACTATAAGTTAAAAAAGTGTTTGGATTAAAATAACTTATTCCGGTGGGGAACCTCTAATACGTCATTTTTTTTATAAGTTACCCTACACTTACTTATTAACTTATAAGCTAATAAACTAATAAGCAATAAGCTTTTTTGCCAAACACCCCCTAAATGGTTATTACTTCAATTTATACATACCCAAACCACTTATACTGTTTATCATCCTCTTTTTTCTTTCTTTAATTCCTTTATTAATTTAATGTCCTACTAAGTAAAATGCTAAAATATATAAATAATAGTTTATAAAAATAAACCTTTAGAATATTAGGTGTTGTGATTCAAAAGTCGATAAATAGGCCTTTGAGAAAGCCAAAATACTCAGGTGTCAACTTGTTCATTGTGATTTTAAACCAAGTTTGGTCACAAATTAAAACATTTTCAACGAAGGTATGTAATTCAAGGATTCATATTGATTTAGGTTCTCAAAACCTTAAAATATTGAACAAAATCTATATAGAACCTAATAATGAGGACAATAATCACCGTAATCAGAAAGTTCATGTGATGAAACTTGATATTATAAGGACAAATGATGAAAAAGAATTCATTTTTAGACTAAACAAAATGAAAAATATACAAA